GGGGAGAAGCAGGCGAGGCAGGAGAGGTCTGCTGTGCCATGTGGGATTCTCGCCGGCCAGTGGGGATCGAACCCACGCTGCAGACGCCGCAGACAGCCTCACAGTGCAGCACTAAACCGCCTGCGCCACCAGGGAGGCCCCAAAATTAAGTTTCTTTCTTTCTTTCCTTTTTTTTAAAAGATTTATTTATTTATTTATACAAACATTGGGTGCAGTCAGAAGCGCGGGAGGGTGAGAGAATTCACCAGAGCCAGAGCGGGGAACAGAACAGGCTGATGAAATACACTGCTGAGAGGAGCAGCGGGCGCAGCAGGAGAGGTCTGTCACACCATGCAGGACCCTCGCCTGTGGCCAGGGATCAAAGCGGCGCTGCAGAGGCTGTGCGCAGCTTTGCAGCCCAGCACTCAACTGCTGCGCCACCAGGGGAGGCCCAAAAATTAAGTTTCTTTACCCCTTTAAGCTTCAGTTTTCCAACTGTAGAATGTCTCATGGCATTTTTATAGCATCAGTAATTATAAAGTATTACATGTCATTAGCTGGTGTTGATAGGTGCAGAAATATTTAAGGCAAAACTTATTAAGTCTAAAATTGTGTTAAGAGAAACAAACCTGGTCCTCCCTGGTGGCGCAAGGAGTTAAGCACTGCACTATGAAGCAATCCGCAGCCTCTGCAGCACTAATTCTATCCCCTGCCAGCCAGGGAGCAACCCACACTGTGGCTGACCTCTCCTGTCTCGGCCGCTGCTCCCCTCAGCAGTGTGTTTCAGTCAGTCTGCCTGTTCTGTTCCCCACTCTGTCTCTGGTGAATCCTCTTACCCGCTGCATCTCTGGCCTATACCCCAGCTCTGGTATGCATAAATAAATAAATCTTTAAAAAAAAAAAAAAGAGAGAGAGAAACAAACCTGTTCATTTCTGGAAACTTTAAGAGAAATTTTGATACTATTTGATTCATTATGATAAATGGGGGCCTCCCGTTAAAATCTCAGTGCTGTCAAGCTATCCAGCCACTGCGGCATGAGTTAGATTCCCCGGACAGGGAGCTGACCCACATGGCGCAGCAGACCTCTCCTATCTTGCCCGCTGCTCACCTCAGCAGTGTATTTCAGTAGATCTACCTGTTCTGTTCCCCACTCTCTCTGGTAAATCCTCTCACCCCCCACACACCCCAGTTCTTCAACACAAAATAAATAAAAATCTTTAAAAAAAGAAATGAATGAGAAATGGTAGGAGAAAAATTCACATTTGGCAACCTCATGGATCTTTTTTTTTTTTTTTAATAGAGGCATGTTTTTATTTATTTGTTTGTTTGTTCGTTTGTTTTGTTTATACATGCATTGGGTCAGAAGCGCAGGAGGGTGAGAGAATTCACCAGAGCCAGAGCGGGGAGCAGAGCAGGCAGAAGGACCAAAGTACACTGCTGAGGGGAGCAGCGGGCGGCAGGAGAGGTCTGCGCGCCATGTGGGACCCTCCTCCGGTGGCCGGGGAGCAGCCGGGGATCGAACCTGCGCTGCAGAGGCTGCGGGCAGCTTTGCAACCCAGCGCTCAACCGCTGTGCCACCAGGGAGGCCCTCCTTAGAGTTTTTTATAAGAACAGGAGGTACAGAAATCTTTATCTGACTTCTGACCAGACCCTCTTGGGTGCATTTTGCTTTAATTTATTCATTTACAAAGGGAAAGAACCTCACTTACCCACAAATAGAATGGAAGATTTGCCTTGCTGTGGCCATAGAATGTAATCTCTAGTTACATAGATTTGAGGTGTTCCAGCCCTAGCTACCTTTTTTGCTGTAAGCTGGTAACTGTTGGAAAGTAATACCTCATGAGCTTCAATTTCCTCATCTGTAAAATAAGGACACCTCATTTAGGTTTGTTGTGATGATTCAACACTATAATATTTGTGAAGTGCTTGGCGTGGAGCCTGGCACCCAAGTACTCTGTTAACAATAGCTTCTCCTGTTACCATGATCTTTTCCCACATGCTGTGAGAGAAATTTGCCAAATATTTCCTTCAAAGGCTACAAGATTGATCAGGAGGGTTTTTCTTTTGTACCTCAGGAATCAATCTTCTGAGTTAACTCCTGGTCTATGGCATAGGCCAATGCTGTTTGTAGAAACAGAGCATGGCAATAAGAATAGCTTTGGCTAGAGAAGCAGTCACAGTACTGGAAGGAGATCAAGACTTTTATTGTTCCCATTGGTGGAGAAACATGCCCCTCTGGTCTTTTATCCTGAAAAGAACAAGCAGTGTTACAAGACGTGAGCATATTCTCATGGGTCTGTATCTGATTGTTCAAAAGGTCCTTTGCTCTGGACCCAGGTGTACAAAATGCTTCATGAAGAGGTTATGAACTCTAGTTCTGATATTGTCAGATTAGGGTCAGCCACTTCCTAATGGACAAATTACTTTTTTGGGTCTATATTTTGCAAAATGGTGATAGCAGTACCCACCTATGGGATTACGTGAATTGTGTGACAGTGTAAACACAGCACAGTCAGTGCCTAGTTGTGGTGTAGTGCTCAGTGAAATCCTGTCAGTGAAGAGCAAATGCTATTCTTGTAGATACTGACGACAATGATTTTTAATTTCTAGTAGAGTTCAACTTATATTTATATATATATGTAATAGAATATTAAAGGTTTTTATTAAAAATAAGAAAATTTAGATTCTTCTATAGTTCGTCATGATTCCCTGACAGCTGCTTAAGCCCAGTATTTAAACAAAAGCCCAGTATTGTGTTTATCCCAGACACAATAAATACTGCTGTTATGCCATCCGTTTTTCCTGTTTGGCCTTTCCTGGTTTAGTTTTTTGATTTTCTATTTTAATTTTGTTCTGTTTACTTTGAGCTTCCTTTGCATCTTTTAAAGGAAAAGAAAAGGAATACTTATGGTACCGGAGCTATTTTTATAGGATACCTTAGCCAAATTTCTTTTAGTTGCAAATTATAGACACTAACTTAAGTTGGTGTAAGAAAAGTAAAAGAAGATTAAACATTGGATCATCAATTTGCCACAGTTTGGCAATTAGCATCCAAACCTTAGAAAGACCTATATCTAGGAATTATAAAGTCCTCGAGAACCTATGCAATTCCTCTTTCCATATCTTTCTCTCTTTCCCTTGATATGTGGTATCATACCTACTTACCTTCTTTAACTGCTATTTGCCTTGTGACTTTGGGCAGGACACTTAATGTATCTTTTTCTCCTCTGGGAAAATGATTTAATTTCCTGTGCTGCTGTTAAAAAAAATTACCACCAACTGGATTACTTAAAACAACAGAAATTTATTTTCTTACAATTCTTAAGCTGAAAGCCCAAAATCCTAATCACTGGGCTGAAATGAAGATGTCAGTAGAGTTGCATTTCCTCTACAGGTGCTAGGGGAAGAGTTCCTTGTGCCAACCTTTGACACACATTTTGTATGTGTGTATGTGTTTTCCTCTTTTGTCCATGGCAAATCTTCCATTGCCTCTTTCTTAAAGATGTGTGATTGCAAATTGAGCCCACCCTTGAAAACCAGAATAATCTCCTTAACTCAAGATCTTTAATTTGATCGTATCTTCAAAGACGCTTTCCCCATAATAAGGTAAGAGTACAGAGATTAGGACCTGATTTCTTTGGGTGGTCATTTTTCGACCTACTACAAATGGGGATAATAAAGATAGATCTCAGCATTTAATAAAAGGTCCATAAATGCAAGTCATCTTCCTTCTGTGCATCCCTCCTGTATACACCACCGTGCCCCTCCTTTTACATCAATTTCAGTTTACATTACTTCAGACACTTTCCAGGAATGCCACTATCACATTAAATATGGACCTGTTAGGATAACGATGATGAAATAGTAGCTATTATTTATTAAATATCTATTGTAGCTCAAGCACTGTGCTGAGTACTTTATTCAGGTATATGGTACAGTTATAATTCCCATTTTACAGAGGAGAGAAGCTATACTTGAGAGATGAAATAACTTGATTTGCTCAAATTCACTCTGCTAATGTCAGAAATGGGATTCAGATAAGCATCAAATTCTAAGGGATGTGTTCTTAATCATTATACTTTGCCTGTTACTCAGGCATGAAGTTCAAGTGAGGTTTTCTACCTTGGCCTCTAATCAAAGCCTTTCCTGGAGGTTTCTTGCACCTGCTAGGAAGGCCTAATGTCACAATTGACCAAGGTGCTTTTTGTCACATTCTTGTTCATTGGCATATGCTTACTTCTGAATAAGTAGAATTCAAGGGAAGACGTGGAAAGCTATATATTCCAGCCTGATTTTCCTCCTTAACCTCTTTGTAGCTAAGCAGTGATTTCCTTGACTGTGGGGATTATAATGATTTATTTCTGAACTCCCAATACCTAGCACAGGGTCTGGACACATAGTAGATGTTCTCCTTAGTAGATGTTCTCCTAGAATGTATGCTTCCTCAGGGACTTTTATTCACTGTTGTATCCTTGCTTTAGAAGAGTCCTGCTATAGAATAGTTGCTCGAGGCAGGAGACCAGAGATGTAAACGATCTGTTATATGACTAGGTTTTTGGTTTAGCCAGTCATGGTTAAAGCTTCTTCACTTGTTAACAATTATAATTATCATTTATTCGACGTATGTCATGTGCTTGATGCTTGTATACATGATCATTAATCCTTAACGCCTTCCTACAGGGTAGAGGTGATAGGCTGTGATTAAGGGGAGTAGGGGCGGGGGAGGAATCAATGATATCTCCTAGATTTCTGACTTGGATGCCAGGCCAAGTGATGTTGAAACCTAGGGGGAGAATCATGAGTTCTCTTTTTCCTTTCTTTGTTTTTTAAGATAAACTATGCTTGTGGTATCTGCAGATAAATGCAGGTATCTGTTCCTAGGATGAGGTCTCCAAAGGTTACCCTGTAAATGTCAGTTGGCCCAGAGAGGGTGATGATTTACCCAGAGCAGGATTGCTTTTTATAGAACTGCAGGCTTAAAGCCATTATTTCCACTGTGTTCTAACTTGACTATGTTCAGTTTCTGTTCCAGATGATCGGGCTGAACAACGAACCTGTCTCATTTGTGGGGACCGTGCTACAGGCTTGCACTATGGAATCATCTCCTGTGAGGGGTGCAAAGGGTTTTTCAAGCGAAGCATTTGCAACAAGCGGGTATATCGGTGCAGTCGTGATAAGAACTGTGTCATGTCTCGGAAGCAGAGGAACAGGTGCCAGTATTGCCGCCTGCTCAAATGCCTCCAGATGGGGATGAACCGTAAGGGTAAGTGATGCTTGTGGCCCTACTATCCATCCTTTACCATCTCTTCACTTCTCATGTCAGCTATTAAGCTTTCGAGTTGAGCATTTCCCAAGCCTGTGCAAAATGCCAGACCTTGTACTATGTACTCAGAACCCAAAATTGAATCTGGCACAGTTCTTGGCCTATAGGGATCTTCCAGATTAGGTGGAAAGATCGGTGAAACATGAAGGATTCTGTGATATTGAAAGCACAGGCTCCATGTGGCAAAACCCCAATTAATAGCTTCTAACTGGGCTTAATAGCCTCTACTTCTTTCTTGATCTTCTTTTAGAAAGAATGACAGGAAGTAGCAATTTCAGATGAAAAGGCACTTAAACTTACCAACTTTGTCCTCTTTTCTTTCTAACTGCCCTGCCTGTGCTCAGGTTCTTTCCTCTACCCAGAAATCCTCTACTTCCCCACTATCAGTTTCCTCTTACAGAAATCTTTTCCATCACCGCCCAACCAACTAATGTTCTGAAGAGTCTGTGGTCATCTACTCTCCCTCACCTGATTTGGTTTTTGTCCTCAATTTTCTCAGCTTGCTTTCTTGCCCACACTGTATTTTATCGATGCATATTTGTAGGTTGCCGTCTTAACTAGTTTCGCTGATGAATCATCCTGCTTATTCCTTTTGTGTGTGACAGTCTGAGACTTTCACCTAAACTCACATATTTCCAGGAAGAAGACGCTTATCCTCATAACTCTTACCATAGCCAGGAGATGGTGACTTACGGCTGTGAGGAATGGTGAGCTGCCTTCCTCGCTCCTTTTGCGAGCAGAGCAGGCAGGCTCAGTTGCCTGGTGATCTCTGCCTCTCAGAGAGAAACCCTGCCACCTCCTGGTTGGTGCTGAGAGAGCAGAATTAAAATTGTTGTTGCCATTAGAATATTTTGGGCATGATGGGAAGTGTGGTTTTCAACACATAATGCTATGCATTGTCAAAATTTATAGAACTATACACCACCAAACAAGTGAATTTTTCTATTTAGCAGTCTTTTTTTTTTTTTTTAAGCAACCAGTATGGGGTGGGAGTTGGGTTGCAGACTGAGACAGATCTGACACTACAAATAAATCACATAACTATATTGAAGGGAGTGAATGGAGACGAAAGGAATTGACCTTGGAAAACATGTTTTGACTGTATATTATAAGGTTTTGACTGTATATTGTAAAGACAAAAAAGAATTGTATATTAACAAAGTAAATTAGTTTATAAATATGTTTCTCTTAAGGTTATGGGTTAGGAATTCTGTCATTTCTGCTCACTAGAGTTGAGCAGACAAATAAGTATATTCTAGATAATGAGAGTCAAGTTTCTCACATTAGAGAAAGGAGTTATAAATTAGGAAATAAGACTAGAATGAGGGCCTCCCTGGTGGCGCAGCGGTTGAGCGCTGGGTTGCGAAGCTGCCTGCAGCCTCTACAGTGCCAGTTTGATCCCTGGCCGCAGGGTGAGGGTCCCACATGGCGCGCAGACCTCTCCTGCCGCCTGCTGCTCCCCTCAGCAGTGTACTTCGGTCCTTCTGCCTGCTCTGCTCCCCGCTCTGGCTCTGGTGAATTCTCTCACCCTCCCGCGCTTCTGACTGTACCTAGTGCTTGTATAAATAAATAAAATAAATCTTTAAATAAAAGACTAGACTGGCACCCTCTGGTGCTAGTTGGGAATCAGGTATCAGTATGGACTCAGATCTATGTAGATAGGTAACTAAATAGATGAAAAATACAGATATAGGGTCTCCCTGGTGGCGCAAAGAGTTAAGATGCAACTTATAAAGCTGTCCACAGCCTCTGCAGCACGAGTTCGATGCCCTGGCCAGCCAGGGAGCAACCCACATGGCGCAGCAGACCTCTCCTGACTCAACCACTGCTCCTTTCAGCAGTGTACTTTGGTCCATCTGCCTGTTCTGTTCCCCACTCTGTCGCTGGCGAATCGTCTCACCCCACACACACACATCTGGCCTCTACCCCAGCTCTTGTATGCATAAAAAAATACAGATATATGTGTGGATACACAGATCAGAATTCATCCACATATCTTCTGGCTCTAACCATTAACAGAAGCTAGAAGCAATGATGCTCCAAGAGCAGTGAACATACATAGTGCCCAGGTCTTTATAAATATCAGTAAAAGCTCTTAGAATTTCTCAGTGCTGAGGTGGGAAAAATATAGGATGAGCCTGGAGAGCATCTTTTGGTGCCTGAAATTTTGAATGTTCAAGGAAAAAGGTGGGGGGAGCAGGGAAAGGAAATATATCACAAGGGCACAGAAACCAACCTGACAGGACTTCTCATGGCAAAAGTTGGAACAACTTGATTAACAAAATAACTGTGTTTTAGTTTATAATAAAGAATCAAATACCCTGAGTTCATATTGATAGAACTAATTGAGTGACTACAAAAGGGACAATTTTTTCCTTGAAGAATCTTAGTTAATAAATGTTGGAGCAATGAGAGAAATAGATATCACCATTAGAGCACCACAGTAATAATTGCTGCAGGCCAGATGGCTCTGGTGGATGCTAAAATAAGTGAGCTCAAGTTGAAGCAGAAAGAGAATATTTGCAGTCTCATAATATTTAGCGATTACAAGAGGAAGTTTTTACTTAGACTTAGCAAAAGAGTAAGTGTTTACATAGTCTCAGAATAAGTAATAATTACAGTGTAAGCTTCATAGAGAATTCTGAGAGAAGATAACACTTCAGCCAAGAAATCAGGGTTAACACCACCAGTAAAACACTGACTCATATACCCCTGATATGATACACTAGGAAGGGCACGCGCATGTGCACGCGCGTGCACACACACGCAGCACCAGGTTACATTCTTGTCCAATCATGAGAAAGCAGGCAAGTCCAAATTCTAAATAACTCACATTTCTACAAAACATCCTTTCGAAATGTCAGGGTCACAAAAGACAAGGAATGACTGAAAATCTTATGATGGAGGAGACTGTGGAGATATGACAATTAATGAGATGTGGAATCATAGCTTGGATAGAATGGAAAAAAAGGACATCAGTGGAGCTGGGGAAATCTGAATGAAGTCTGTGCTTTGGTTAATAGTATTGTATCAAAGTTAATTTCTTAGTTTTGATGAATAGTTTGTGGTTATGTAAGATGTTAACAGAAGGGGAAGCTAAGTATAAGAGTATATGGTAATTCTCTGAACTATTTTTGCAGCTCTCCTAAATTTATTTCAAAATTTAAGAAATAGACGGTGTTGTCTCCCATCTCTGGACACAGATATCTTTTCATACCTGAATATTGGCCGGCCAGGAAATTAACTAACCCTATTAAATAAGGGTGGTGAACAGGCCCTACCTGTCCATCCCCATTACTACCCAGGTACCCCCCCAAACACATGATCCTCATTATTCAGTTTTCAGTCTTCAGAATAAATCCAGGCTCCTCAGAAAGATTTTTAGGGCCCTACTGACTCTTGCATCAGCCACTTCATTCCTTCCCTTCTCTGCTCCTTCCTACACACAATCCACATTCCATCCTACTTTTCCAAAAACCGTAAGGTATTTTGAGGCTTTCGCACATGTGGGTTCATCTTCCTGGAATTTTTTTTTTTTTTAAGATTTATTTATTTATTGCATACAAGAGCTGGGGTGTAGGCCAGAGGTGTGGGGGTTGAGAGGATTCATCAGAGACAGAGTGGGGAGCAGAACAGGCAGATTCACTGAAATACACTGCTGAGGGGAGCAGCGAGCGAGACAGGAGAAGTCTGCTGCGCTCTGTGGGTCACCTCTCTGGCCTGGCCGGGGATCAAACTTGTGTTACAGTGGCTGCAGGTTGCTTCATAGTGCTGACACTTAACCCCTTGCGCCACCAGGAAGGCCCTCTTCCTGAAATTTTTTATACCTCTTCTTTTTTTAACTATATAGACTTTTCTTTTTATGCTCAGCTTTTATTTGTAACATTCTTTAAGAAACCTTCTTTGACACCACCCCCTACCACCAGGTGACCCTCCTTTACTTCTACAGCCCTTTTTTGCCCCGTCATGACCCTAATACCTTGTGCTTTCTTTATGTGTCTGTTCATACAGTGAGCGGCTCAGGAGCATTGACCAAGTCCAACTTTTCTGTATGCTCCTTAGGATATCACCCTGCTTTAGGGTAGGATGTTTACTGGTTTGATGGATTGACTGTGGTGGGAAGCCAGGACAGTAAAATCATCAGAGATAAGAGGAAGCTTACACTGAGCCTCATGGGGGAATTCATACCAGTTAAGTATGTGCAGATATTTAAAATTCCCTTAACTTTGTTATCTCATAAATTACTAGTTAACTAGTTCCAAGTAAAAAAGGTTAAGAAAACCTTGGAGGAGGTTGATGTTTGTAGAAATCACCTTATGAAACAGTGAGTCTGTGGCATTGCCATATAATACTTTACCAGGATGAAAATAGAGCCCTGAGAAATCTCAGAGATACCGTTTGAGCAGAATCTTTGAAGAATAGAAGTTCAGGCTCTTTACAGACTTAAAGAGCTCTTTAGAAATGTCTCCTCCCGCCCCCTTCTCTCGCTCTGTGTATGTGTGGGTGTTGTAGGTGTCACTCCCCTTTGCTTCTAACAGCTCTGGTACTTTTATCAGATACAGGAAATTCAACATAACATAACACTATTATCTAATTACCAGACCTTATTCAAATTTTTTTTTCTTAGTGCAATTTATTCTCTTCTAGGAGCCAATCCAGGATCACACATTCCTTTCAGTTAGTCTCCTTTAATTTGAAATGGATCCTTGGCCTTTTTTCTTCTTAGTAACATTGTCAGTTTTGAATAAAACATGTCATTTATTTTGTAAATTATGCCTCAATTTGGGTTTGTCAGTTGCTCACAATTATATTGGTTATGCATTTTTGGCAAGAATGCCACAAAAATGATGTGTCATCCTTTCAGTGCATCATATCAAGAGCATGTGGTGTAAGTTTGTCCCATTTGTTAGTCATATTCACTTGAATCACTTGATTAAGAT